AGATGGGTAGTTTGCTGCGTCTTTCTTTTTTCAGATTTCTCTTTCATTTTCTAATTGGTTTTAAAGGGTTCTAATTGGAATTCACATGCCAAAATATAGTTGTTGGGTTACTATGTGTGAATAGAATATCTATATAAAGTAAAATATTCTTATAGTAAGAATTTTGAGTATAAATCGATTGGGAGAGGGAGATTTACCCAAATTCATTAGGTGCCTCGGAGTTTCGAGCATTTGCTCACATAAGCGGAGGTGGAATAGCTTAATAAACTGAGCTATAGGATTTAGGATACTAAAAAGCTATACCCATTGGCCTTATTTAAATAACACAAAATTACCATTATTTAATAAATAATTTGAAAACACAACTGCGTTATTTTAAAAGAACAAATACGTAAAAAATGAAGATCTGTTACAAAACAAGTAATTACTAAAAAGGCAAATAAAAGTTCAGATCCAACAAAAATTATCCATATATAAAGATACAATAAAAGAAATTAAAAATTGGTCGAGAAACTATAATACTCAGGAGATGAGATTTTTCCAATATCTCTTGTTTAAAAAAAGGGGGTTTATTGGGCACTTCAAAATACTTCCTCCAAACACAAATATTGGTCACCAATAAGGTTTTAATTGGATTGGCTCTCAAGCCGTTGGTGTGCTCTTAAGTGATCTGAATTCAAGCTTCTATAGTAGTCGTGTGTGTGAGTACTTTCCGACTCCCCTTTCCTAACTTTGGCATAAAAACCTTACGAAATTTTTCATGGGAGCAAAATTTTAAAGGTGCAAATTTCCCTAACTTTTTCGTTGGAGGGCGAATCTGACCTCCTCTCCAAAATTCCAAATGAGAAATCAGGTTGCTGTCATTGTTTCTATTCTACTTCTAAAGCTGCCATTTTCATTCTGCCATCTTCGTTTGGTTGTAGGTTTTTTTTTTCCACTGCTTGAAAGTGACTTAAACGTGTGTGCAATCCGTTTGTTGCCGCGGTCAGTGGTCACTTCCTCGCTCAGTACTTTGAAATTCGTCACCATTTAATTTCGAGTCTCCTCATATTAAATCTTGTTTCTTTCTTCCTTCCATAAATTAATTTTGGATTATCACACATATACTTTCCATATATTTTGATTGAAAATTGAATAAAAAGGAAAAAGACAGATGTTTTAATATCTGGCTTTGTGCATAAAAGTAAAACAAGAGATTGAGATTAAATTACTGGGCTAAGGTAATTGTGACTCTGAGCAAGACGACAGGCATTACAGGGAGGAGAGAGAGAGAGAGAGAGAGAGAGAGGGGAGGAAAGAGAGTGGGCTTTTGACACATGGTGTGTGATGAGAGGTTTCTTTTTTTTTGGAGAAGGGGGAATGGGGCTTGGCAAAATACACTGCAATTAATTACCAGGGGAGGGGATTGTCTAAGCCCCTTTTTTTTTATTTTAATGCAAATGAATTATTATGCTTGTTTTTATATGATTTTTTTTTTCCTTTCTTAGTCTGACAATGTGTATATATGCTGCTTTTCCTTTCCTTGCTTTTATACCTGCTGAGCAAGCTGAGCAGCTGAGCACTTCGAAGTGCAGATAGAAGAATCTTGCCAACTTAATTTCAATCAATCATCTCTTGAGAGAGAGAGAGAGAGAGAGAGCAGCAGCAGCAGCAGCACCGGACCGGAGCAACATCAGATCAAAATCATGCCCTACTCTCCCTGGGACATACCTATTCTCTCTAATCCCAATGAGTATTCCAACTTCCAATGTTTTCTTCAATCTATAACGCCCTCAGTCCCTACTCAACAACAGCCTCCCAAGGTAACCATTCTCTTGTTTTCAATTTTGTTTTTACATTTTCTTTCTTGTTTTACGTCTTGGTTCTATTTCAAATGAAGTTTTTGTATTCTAAATTTAAAATCAAGTACTTCTGCTTTAATCTTTTTTTTTTCCTTAAATTAGAATAATTTTGGATTATTTAAAATTTTAACTATAAAAAACCTTTTTCATAGATAGACTGTGTTATCAAAAAATTAATTATTCATTAAAATGAATTCATCTTTTGATTCATTATTTCTCATTTCTATCTCAGTTGTATCTAAATATGATGAGATGTCGTCTGAAAAAGCATACCCAAACGGACCCTAAATTTTACAAGTAGCTAGGAGTCACTTTCCCAAATCTCCACTTGTATAAAAAGAAAAAGGAAAAGGAAAAAAAAACACTCAACTTTTCATATAATATTTTTTGTTGTTGGTTATTTTAATAAACTTTTTTTTTTTCTTCTTGTTGTGAATATTTATAAATATATTATAACATACAGGTTCCTGTGCAAATGCTAAATGGGTGCCTTTCGCAATCCCTTGGCAATAACAGTACCGGGTGTTTCTCTTTGAGTGACCTTTGGAAGTTTTACAAGGATTGGAGTTGCTTTGGTGCCGGTGTCCCGATTCTCCTCAACAGCGGCGATGGCGTCTTACAATACTTTTCTCCATCCTTATCTGCTCTCCAAATATATACTCGGAAACCCGTTGATTATTATTCCAGGTATTTGAAAAGTATTATTTTCCTTTGTTTCTCGAGCTCAAAAATCTCCGATTCATCTCTGATTCGCTTGCTATTCTTCTGGTAACAAGGTTAGGGATAAGCTGCACACCGAAACTCGAGAGTGACTCTTCAGATGTCACTTCAGATGATTCTACCGGTGACCATGAGGTCTCTTGCCAAACAACTGAGCGCTTTGGCCACCTGTATTGCCAGTACAATGAAACAGCCAGTCCTTATGATAGAGTTCCGCTCACCGACAAGGCAAATATCCCAATAACCTCCATTTCTTCAATACAAGTTTTGGAATTCTATCATCTTTTTATTTTTATTTTTTCCCTTGAGAAAAAGTCAACTTTGATAACTCTTATTCATCATATAAGCAATGGGATGTTTGATCAGATCAATGAGCTAGCTCAGAATTATCCTGCTCTGCTGAAGTTTCAGAGCGTGCAGCTTTCTCCCTATAGCTGGATGGCTGTTGCTTGGTACGCACGATTTTTGCTCTTGTTGCTAGTAATTTTCAATTGAAGATTGCGATACTAATCTTTCTACTTATCAGTATAGAGTATATTGTGTTTCCATTTGCGGATCCCTTCAATGTTTTTTAGTATCTTGTTTTTCCACTTTGGCCTTTTACTAGTATCTTTGTCTTCTTGTGTTTCCTTGATCAATAAAAAGAAAACCCCAGGAAGCTGTTTCATAAACTATAGTCCAGGTTAAGATGAATGCAGTTGCTTCTGCAAGAAAAACTACAAACAACTGGAGTTAACTCTAGTTATTATTTGTCAACAGTGCAGTCGTTACAAAAAAAGTAATTCATTTTTAGTGGCACTAGGTAGGACATTGCAACTTCAACTCTCATAGGAAACATCTTTCGTGTGCAATGAGAAAAATATTAGAACAATGTCTTACTCTGAACCTGACGTACTTTTCACCATTGTTTACTTTCGTTTCATATCTTGTCTTAAGAGATACAAATATAAGAATTTTACAAATGATTCTTCATTGTTTATTAGGTATCCTATCTACCAAATTCCATTCACAAGGACTGCGAAGGATTTGTCTGCATGTTTCATCACTTATAACACATTATCATCTTTTCAAGGTAAAAACGTATTCCTCTCTCTCTCCATTGTTGGGTGAGAATTTAATCTCTGTTGTTTATTTCCATGCATTTTTTTTTAGTTTTCTAAGTATAACTACATTTATATTATACCTTTTGTTGTTTTATACATTTAATTGATCTGGTAGCTTGTCTCACAATCTTCAAAATCTATTATGTTTGATTCCTGTAAGTATATGAGACAGAATGGTTTTCCTATGATTTTAATCAATTATGAATAATCAATTATGGTTTTATGAATATGCAATTAAGAACTGATCAAAGGTGGTAGTTAAAATGAAATATCCCCGTAAAGTGATTCTTACGTAATGTAACCAGCGTTTAGTCCTAGGAATCAAGTTCTTCAATCAAACACTCATATGTATGAGCAATCCAATCAGTGCCTTTTCCTTTGGTACATTTCTTAATCCTTTGGTATATATGTATGCTTATAACAGAACCTATCTTTAATGTGTTTGTACTGGGAGAACTTTCCGTAATGAATGTGTGTATATATATATATATATATATATATAGGGAATTCATCTCTTGCTAGATACTTATGTTGTCTGAACCCACACAAAATAAGAATCCACATGATAAATAGTTCTGAATTCAGACCTGGTAACATAATATGCTCAGACTTTCTTGGAAGAGAACATTTTCCTTATAAATGTACGTGTATATGCGTATATAGATCCCCATGATGATTATCCACACAAGAGAATACAAATTTAAAATGGATTAATAGAAACACGCCCCTCTCTTTTTGGTGTTGTCTCCTTTCTTACATATCTACCAAAGTGTCTGAAATCCCTACAACCTCATGTCATATAACAGTAAATGTAGACTAAAATTTACATAACTTTTAGAGGTCCAAAGAAAAGATTCTTAGTGTGAAAACCTTCCCAGACCATGTACTAAGCAAGATGTCAAACGGAAGTTACATCAAAAGAAAACTTTATTTATTACAAATATTGACCAACAACAATTTGTACTATAATAGAACAAATTGAAATGGTTTTTTTATTTATGGAAACTTAAGATGGTTTTTAAACTGTCTATCAATACACATATAATGTAGAAAGATAAATGTGCTAGGCTACCAAATTTGTACGTTGGTGATGAATAGCTTGATTTTGAGTGAACCTATTTAGGGGCGCATATAGAAGAATTGATGTGCATTTATTGAAACAAATGCACTATCTTTCCCAAAGTGTTGGGTGGAAATGTCATTTAATTAACAAGAGAATACTAGGAGCTCTCTCTGTCTCTCTCTCTCTCTCTCCCGCTCCCATAGAAAAATAACAAGAACTAAAGAAGAAGTAGAAGAATGCTGTTCTAGAAAAGTGGCAATGTTAGCCCATCAACGAAGAAGCAAGCATGTAAACATCATGAAAAGTTGGTCTAACTGAGTTGTTTCCATGGTTTTTCTGTCATGTGCTTTCGTTCACCCCCCTTCTCCCCGGTGAACTGCGAACTGGTTCAATCGTCCCAACCGCAACCCAAATCGTAGAAACTAACATCCTAGATGATTGTAAGGTTTAATAGATTTGCAAACTCAAATCGTGAAAATGAATAAATAAATAAAAAATGGCGTTGGGTGACTTAGGGCAATCACTGTTCCATCTTCATCCAAAGTTCCAAAATTCAATGTCTGGTAATTCTTCAGAAAGCGGGAAGAAGATGAGCTCTTAGAGACTCTTGACGGTTGAGGAATAGGACGAAGATGAAGATGGGTAAGTCTGAGTTAAACTGTCTGACTTGAGAGACAAGAAGAATACGAGTCTGCGACAATAGAGAATGTGAAAGAGGGAGGTGCTGGAGGAGATGTTTTGGCTTCCAGTTCCAAGGGGAAGGTGCATGTATGGAGAAGTCTCCATTATGCAGTAATGGGGTCTCGAAAAAATTGCGACCCAAAATTTCCGACTGACTATGCACCCAACGAATCCGTACAATAGAAATTACCGAACCTGTACCCGTTCCACGTACTGTATCGTTCCCCGTACGAGGTAACATTAATTACACACAACTCTTGGTGCATTTACACTTGGTATTACTGAATGCTCAGAATATTACTAATGACAGTAGGTTTTCTATAACTGACAGAAGTCGTTGAAGCTTTTGAAAATCAATGTTACCAGATATACACCACAAGATGTGTAAGTATCATTTTCATATTTATTTTAATGAAGAGTATGTAGTTGGTAGAGGAAATGGGTCCATAGAAATGCTAACAGTATGATAGTATGGCCTGTAGAGCGTGATTTGACTGATATGATTGCAAAATTAAATGCGGCAGTGGCTTTTGTAAACTTAGGGTTGCAAATAAAATTTATTTGCTGGTGCTCTTTTGTTCTTCTTATTTTCCTATTTGTTATCTTCAACTGTTGCTAGAATGAAGATGTTTTGGTTTTGTTTGACAGTTTGTTTAGAATTTTTCTACATGTTGAATATATCAGAATTGTTGGTTGCCTTTTTCTTTGATGGAACAGTTGTACAGAATTTTTAATAGACTCTTCAGACGTGAATTCCTTAATGTATGTATGTATGAATTATAATCATTAAATTCCCGATTCCTTCTACGATCATTTTGTGTATATATAGATGGATAAGAAATAGATTTAAGAATTTCACAAGATAATAGTAAGTGAATATAGGAATAGGTGGTTTGGTCTAAAGTTAGACAGCTCCAAACTGCTCCTGAAATCTGTTGATGATATTGAAGAATAAAATAAAGCTTGAAAACCAATAAAGTCATTGCAAATTTTGAGAAGTATTCCAAGGAGCTAGGTGGAGTAGGGTCACAGAATAATGACTCATATAAGCTTCAGAAGAATCGGAACACAGTATCAGAAAGAGGAATTAATTGGAGTGCATCAGAGTGTTTAAAAGAATTTATTACTTACCCACTATTGAGGTTTAAGAATTACATCGAAAAGAAAATCGAACTGAAATAATTTCACTACTAATGCAGTTACTACAAAGAAGTTTATGTAGGTAATTATGGTTAGGTGAGACTATGGTTTATGTGCTTCGATAAAATGATTGTTGAGCATACTAGGAGGATTATATCACACACTCCAATTACCATTGTGGGGTTAGTTGGATGGTCAGGTCCATGGTTTGCTCCCATGTGGTCTGCGTAGTGTTTCTGGCCTCCCAAAGATAGTAGGGTTCGACTGGGGCCACAGTTTCAAAGCTGTGTCCGCAAAGCGGGTTGGTGGATTTCTGGGTACCAAAGAAAGAAAAAAAAAATATTTAAAAAAAATGGCAACTGAATGAATATGAAGGATATATTCCAATTTTGTTCATGACAATTATGACTACTCTAGCATTATCCAATTGTATAAGAACACAATCAAATAAAGATATTGTCATGATCCCAAATAATTCAAAGCATTGAATTAATTTTGTTGGTCAATCTTTTGCTACATTTGGTATCAAATCAGCTTGCATGGCGAAACTGACGCCAAGACAGGGCCCCTAAACTTATTAACTAGAACTGATGCAGTGTAGCCATCACAAATATTGGAAAGGGCTACCTACTGTCAGAGTACATGGTTTAAATGATGAAAAGGTCTACCTTGAAGAAGGCTAACTGGAGAGGACTGTAGAGAGTACTCCGTTAAGTAAAGTTGTCTTGATGCGGCAGGAAGACTACCTGCCACCAAAGTGAAAGCCATCTAGACTGAAACTGTTCCTGGAGTAGAGCGAGAGTTTGGCGTGATGAAAAGGCTACTTTTCGCCAGAGAAGCTACATAGATTGGAGCTACCTAGGATGTTGTTTGCAGTCTTGCAGAAGACTGATCATGAGTACTTAGTTGATCTAAAATAGTGAATATAGAGAATAGAAGGATAAAACTATAGAATAGAAGTTGGAACGAAGATAATTAAGTTTAGGGCAAAAATCCCAAAAGAAACTCTATAGACTAAAAGTCTGGAATTATATTCATAAAAAAACTCCATACAAGAGTCTCTTAATAGCCTATTTATACTAGAATACCAAAAACCTAATTGACAAAAGATATTAAAAACCAAAACAGGAAATTAAATCAAATCCTAGTAAGAATGGGAAAACAAAAAAGTAACTAATAATTTAAAGTAAAGAGAACCCTAGTCCAATTGACTAATGGCCCAAGTGCTCTTGGAAAAGACTCGTCCTCGAGTCTAAATCGTTATCGTCAAAGACACCCTGAGAAGTTTGAAACTGAATTCTTCCTTTCAAAACAAAGAGGTATAGACGAATTCCAATGCTTTGATGAAAACTATCTAAACAGAACCTCTGCTTACATAAACTGTCCATAGAACTTTGACCTTGAAATTGAACCTTCCCACTCCAAAGAAATAGATATTTAGAATATTTGATCCTTTTGGAACAGTTCCAATTATCTTATGCAACCAATCTCTCAGCCCAAAAACTCTGCAATCCAAAAACCATTAATTGACACAATCAACAAAGGTCTTGGCAATGTTCAAACTGAAAGCATCAACACCAAGAAATCAACATACTTAGAATTAGTAGTTTCTAAAGCATGCACATGGTCTCGAAAATTTTGGGTTATTTGCTCATCTTCAAAAATTCCTTCTGTACTTTGTTGTATCACCTTTCCTTCGAACTTGTATGGATTGTGTTCCTCCAAACGTTTAGACCCAACCTTCTCTTGATCCATTGCCTTCAAGATTACATTAGATTCAACTTTTTTACCCTCACCAAATACCTTGTCAAAAATTTCTCAACCCCAAAACGAACTTCACAGTCGTCTTCAAAACAATGATCAAATATGGGAGGGATATCCAAATTTAGGAAACTAACTGAAGAATTAGAGCGAACCGCTCCTTCCAATCCACCTCGATTACCATCACCATAGTTTTCAGCTTCATGAAGGGGGTTTACATCTTCTTAAAGGTCATCCTTAGGACCACCTTCCAGTGTGTCTAAGGGTTCGCGGTTGCGTTTCGGAATCTCCATATAGGCATCCGTGCGTTCCTGTCGTTGGAGGGCTTGCACTGCTCTCGACAAATCTTCGATCATACACCACATCTCAACCATCTCTGTTTGTTGGGCTTGGTTCCTTCGTCCACAATCTCTAGCATGTCTAACCATGGTGTGGAGCAAAGATTTAACCTGGCTTTGATACCAATTTGATGCAGGGCAGCTGCTATAAGCTGTTGTCCAGTTATCCAAACATACAATAGAAGGATAAAGCTATAGAATAGAATTTGGAACAAAGATAATTGAGTTCTAGGGCAAAAATCCCAAAAGAAACTCTATAGACTAGAAGTCTGGAATTATATTCATTAAAAAACTCCATACAAGAGTCTCTTAATAGCCTATTTATACTAGAATACAGAAAACCTAATTGACAAAGGAAATTGAAGACCAAAACAGGAAATCAAATCAAATCCTAATAAGAATAGGAAAACAAAAGGCGTAAGTTGTAACTAATGATAGAGTTTGAGCTCTTTTGGCTTCCTTTTAGCCACGCGTGGCGGCTATCCACGTGTCCCAAGGTGACGTCCATTTTAACCAAGGCCCCGCTCCCTATCTGTATCAACCAGATCAGGTGATAGGGGGCGATAGTGTGGAGACCATAAAGAGGTGACTTAAAGTAAATAGAACCCTAGCCCAATTGACTAACTGCCCAAGTACTCTTGTAGAGCCCAATAGATGCTCCTGCATCAAATAATCTAGTAATAAATACAATTGATACAACAATAGGCAATTTCTTTTGTAGTTTAATTTTTTTCTTTTGTGTGGCAAAAAGGCTACCTGCTGCCACGGAGTAAAAGCTGCCAACATTTGAGCTGCCGAAAAATGTTGCCTGCAGACGTCATGATCGAATGCTTACTCGATCTAGCAGTCCATTGGATAAATGTTAATGTTAATTTGTTTTGTAGTTGATTTCGACTACATTTCCATAGGGAGTGCTTGGAGTTTTTCTTTTCTTTTGGCATTTGAGAAAACTGTTATCACATTATGTGTAGCTTTTAAATGTTTAGGACCACAACACTTATCCTTTAATGTATTCTATCAGAAGGGAATTGTCTTTTCTAATTTTAAGGGCATATGGGGAATTTTACTCAGCTAATAGTACAGGTTTTTATTTTATTTTTGTGGTTATTTGATTGTAGGAAGCAAGTTGGGTGCTCCAAAATCTTTTTACATTTTACCAGCATAAGAGAGAGTGTTGGAGTATAAAGTGATTGAAATGAGATGATGAAAGCATTGATTAAATGATTATCAGGATTTAGTGAAAATTTGTTGTAGGAACGTAATATACGTGAAACCTCTTTCTGCATGCCAATTCCATGCTTGATTAACTAAAAGGCCCTCCCTCCTTTAACAATTGTGAAATCTGTTATTATTTCTGCATTCTTTCCATGGTCGTGTAAGTCCTAACCAATTAGATCTAAGTTTGCATTTGTTTGTGTGATATCTGTGTGTGTAAAAAGGGCACTCCTTGTTTATTTGAAGTAATGTGCATGTACTTTATTTCTTTTACCATGCCCCAATTAATCTAGTTTTGCATATTAAGCATATTTAACCGCTTTTAACAAAGCATGGTCCTTATTTATACAAGTCCACAGTGGCAATAGGTTGGAGCAGTTTTCTTGAAAATTTTAAAAAATACCATGCCTCTTATGCAAAGTATACAAAGGTCTAGTGGCTTACTACTCTGTCTATTCTGTTAATGGTAGTTGCCCTGTTACTCTTACTTTGGGAGAAAGTTTGATCTTACATGTTATATGCTATCATAGGTAGAAGCTGATAAACCATATACTTGAATGATCCATTATCGGTGAGTTTTCTGATAAGATCAAACTGTCAGAAGTTTTGTAACTGTTGTAACTGAACTTTCCTTTTTTCTGTTGTTGGTTCTTAGGACTCCCGTGTACCATATTGGAGGAAGATGAGAAGTTTCAAAGCATTAATACTCTAGGAAAGGAATGGGGTGGCAGGATGCTAGAAAGAGATAGCAGAAGAGGTGAAATTGCTCTTCCTCCTTTTGCAGTGGCTACTTATAAGATGTATGGGGAACTCTGGACAAATCCTGAGACTTCAGACAAGGAAAATATTGCCTCTTATCTGAATGCTGCAAATTCCTGGCTGAAACATTGTAAATTCCAGCATCATGACTTCAATTTCTTCATGTCTCGTAGGTAGTGATGCGTCCATCGTCATCTAGCCTTTTTTTTTTCCTTCCTTGTTTACTTAATAGAGTCCTAACAATCTAACTTGAAACTTGGAGCTAGTTCAGGAAAATGGGTAACCACAGAAAGTGCAACTGATTCTGTGGTTACCCATTGATAATATTGAAAACTCATGTTGAGGGTACAGTTGATCACAAATAATCAGTTTGAAGGGAGAGAAAAAACGAATTTCATATCTGTTGTGTTCAGAGGGGCCTGGTGGCGTTCTGTTTGTGGGTGCTGCATTTAATTGCCATAAATGGGAAATGTTCTCTTATTTCCAGAACTCAAGTGACTAGTAGATACGAGCTTGTCAGTTAGGAACAAGGGGCTTGTAGCTCAAGTAGTTAAGCATATTTATCCCTGCATCTAAGGTCTTAGGTTCAATTCCCTCTCCCTCACTTTCGCTTGCATTAAAAAAAAGAGTTAAGCTTGTCAGTTGTCACTGCTCCAGAAGGTACATACGAGCCAAGCAGGTCCGAGCTTTCTCCGACTTGAACTTGGCATGATAATTTTGTATGAGCTCCCAAGGAGTTTAACCTCAAGTTCAGCTCAATGATTGATGCTCGAACATGGCTTGACAATAAACTAAGCTTGTGCCTAGCTGGAGCTCTACTTTAGCGCAACAAACTAAACTTAAAAACTACGGCACAAATAATTTGAACTTGAGCTTGAATTTGATATTAATTTCAGCTTGCTTAATTGATTACCAGTCTCTCAGGCATGCGTCCCGCGCATGTGAAGAGGCTTTTTTTCCTAATGAACAACCATTATCGATCAAAATCGGGCGAACGGAATGTGAAGAGGCTTTTTTCCTAATGAACAACAACCATTATCGATCAAAATTTGGGAGAATAGGGAGTGCGGGTGATGCAAAACAATTAGAAAGAAGCGTTGACTCAGAGCTCAGTATCCTAAATATCACCAACATTTTTTTTTATACAAGGGCTACAAATAATTTGACACAAACCAGCCATGTTGAGTATAGAATTATTCAACATAGACACAACCCTTGTATATTCTTGTTGAACGTCTGTCAGAAGTTGCATCAATGCAACTCTAGCGAAGGGGATTAGGCAGGCTACCCAGAAACACAAGTTACATACCTGTACGGACTTTCGCTTAAACAATCCCAGTTAACAATACCAAAAGAAGGGGGTGACTCTAATCCGCAAAAACTTCCAAAGAATCAAATTTTGAAATAGCTGTTTGTTACATACATTTCTGCATAAATCTTGAGCCATTTAAATCCATCAATTTAACAGATTGGTTAAACCAACCAGATGAACCGCAATTGCTGAAGAAGCTTAAGAGTAGTAATAATAAGAATAATGACAAAAGAGAATAAAATACAATCAAGTGCAGTTGAGAAACGAGCAGCCGGGCTATTGATTATTAGATAATATAATGTGTGTGTGAGAGAGAGAGAGAGAGATAGGGAGAGAGAGAGAGGGAGAGGTTATAGCCTGATATACATAATGGATTATCCATTGATCAAATTCAAAGGTATTCGAACTCGTCCTCCTTGAGATGGGCGAAGAACTTGACAGCGCCACGGCCTTCAACATCGACAACGAACTGCACCTTATAAGGGAGATTGGCTGAAATCCGCTTGCCCTTCCAGAGCCCAACGTACTGCTTGAGCTCACCTTCCATTCCAGTGATTTCCAACTCTGGTACTCTGGGCACGTGGTACACCTTCAAAGGCACCTTCACCTTAACCCTAGCTCCGATCTTGGAGGAGGCGACGGCTTCATCTGATGATGTTACATCGGCAGAGGAAGAATAAGAAGAAGAAGGAGACGAGGAGTCTGATCTGGTAGCGACCTCGCAACTAATCCTTCCACTTTTCCTCCTTGGCCTTGGGCAGTGGGCGAGAGCGCTGGGAGTGAGTTTGTGATGTGAAAATGAAACTGCCCTTCATGTGTCCCGCATCCGCCGCCGTACTCAGGGATGAAGAGGCTGCTATGACTGTGGTTACTGTTGCTATACTCATCGTTCCTCTGTCTGCTCTGTATTCTGTATATCTTATCTAAATTCTCCGTTGAGACACCTAACCAGTCGTCTTTTGTTTCCTATTTCCCAATCCCAATCCCAATCCCAATTCAATCTCCAAAACCCCCTACCCCACACCAAAATACTTCTTGTTAATTTCTTATTATTTTTCCTCTTTCTCTTTATCGATTATGTGGAGGTGTGTACTTGCAATCTCTACTCTCACTCGTCATCTGCCACCCACTTTTCTTATCTCTTATTCCGTCCAAGGGCAAGGGTGAGATTTTAAAGAAGGCAAACCAACGTTCTTGATTATATATATATAAAAAAAAACAAAACAAAAAGGATTAATTACATTTTACTCCACATAGGTGGGCAGGGTTAGGTTGGGTCGGATTTAGTCTCAACCCATAATTCAATCCGATATGTAGCGGTTTATGATTTATTGGATTCAAGACTCGCTTATTATTAGGCCAATTCAACTCAAATTTTTTGTAATCGGGTTGGGCGGTTTGGTCGAATTAACTCAAAATTAAACATACTTTTAAGTTTTGGTTCCAATCCGTAACCTAATGGTTTATGATTTTTTGAACTCAAGACTCGCTCATTTTAGACCCAACCTAACCCACTATGAACGAGTTTGATGGTTGTCATATTGACCCGAAATTGTGCCTACCCCTAACCTGTAGGTTAGAGTCATTATCAAAAGGCTTATTAGTTAAAATGCTCCCTGAAACATAGGTTAAATCCCACTTTCCCCCCTAAAGCTCAAAGTGACCCATATTGCCCCTTTGACTGTGGTTTCATGATTCACTTTGCCCTTTATTGTCAACTCCATTCCAAATTCCGTAAACAACCCTAAGGATGACTTGGCAAATTGTGGAACCCACCCTTATTCAGAGGCCCATATAAAAAATAACAAATATTAGAAGTATTGGTGTGCCAAAGGGCTTCAAACCCTTAACCTCCTGTTAATACCCAAAAAATTCATGGTTCAGCCCAAATGAATTCTCAACCCAGCGCAATATCTTATTAAGAAAATACCCAATTTGGAGCACGCAAAAGTTCGTTATTCACGTTCGCACGAGTCATGATCCAGTGCCATGCCAAATAAATATGCAATTTGTCATGCTAAAAATTGAAATGAGCCTATAAAAGGCACTGGCTCTACAAGCCCATACTAAATTGAATGTCTTGTCCCTCTTCAGGGATGATAAAATTAAATCATGCCAAGTGACATGTCATGCAAAGCAGGAAATCATTACTTCACACCCAAACACGCTAACAAGCCTAAGTGGGCCCAAGCCACTTAAATGCCCGGGGCTTACTTGAGTGGGTTGTGGTATGGATGATAATAAGTTGACATGAGACCCATTCATGGGCCGAGAAATGGAAGTCCCGGGGTTGTTTGGGAGCCTCAAAACTCATGCCCATTTCTTAGGCCCAAACATGTGAGTGAGCACAAAAGATAAAGTACCTCATTACTTCAACCAAAATAGCCCAAAAATTTATGAAGTTAGCCCATTTACTTGATAAACCAACTTATTGTCCTAGAAGGCCCAAGCAACCCAAGAAAATATCTACAAATCTCCAGCACCTAACTGAAAACAAACACCACGATGAAAGCCAAAATATCCATGTCAGTGAGCTGTTGGAAGGCTCCAGCACATGGAAAGGAACAAGTTTCAAGCAAAAAGCATCCAAGGGACCAAGGGATATTGGCGCGCAGCTTGCTATGAGGGGAATCACCCTTTGAACTAGCATGCATACCCATTTCTTTCTCTCATCAGACTTGGCCATGGAAGAAGGAATGAAAGAAAGGAAGGAGATGGCTGGGAATAGAAGTTCTCTACTGAGGCAACTGCAAGAAGAGCATTAAGCTCTCAAAAATCCCTGATTTTGTGAGATTGGGCAGAGAAGATCTTGTCAAAATAAAATAAGTCAGAAGAAGGGAGGAGAAAGGAAGGAAAAAGCTTGGCCAAATTGGATAGAAACCATTAGGGTTTCTTGAAAAATGATAGCTTCCAACGGCTATAAACTAGGCATCTTCTACCCAACCAAACAACCTACATTTAGAGAGCAAGATTTATCTCTCATCTCTGAAACTCTGCAATTTCGTGCCCTTTTTCTCCATCTCATCCCATTTTCTCTTATGGCAAGCCATTCCAGAGTCTGACATAGCTTTTGTCAGGCTGTTGGAAAATTACCCTACACACTCAATGCTTCACCACTAGCCACAATCACATCCAGAGAGCAAGCTTCCTCTCTCACCTGCAAAACCCAACAAATTTGTGCTCTATTCATCATTTTCCCCTATTTTCCATCTTATGACAGGTTGTTCTAACACTTAACAGAGCCTCTATCAAGCAGCCGGAAAAACACTCAAGCCACCAATTCCTCTCCGTTTCCCTCATTCTCAGCCAAACCTTCATGCAGACCCTTCTTCTCTTAACTTAACACCCCTTTTTTCCCCTACTCTCATGTCAAGCTAGAAAATCTATTCGTAAGCTGTTGTTATTTTTGTTGGTGAAAGTAACCAAGGTGTTTCCTAAAGCATCTCTGTCCTTTCGAAGCATTTTTATGGCTTGATCTTCGAACTCAGGCTCAAGGGACAATTTCATCCATTTTTCTATTTACGACAGCCCAGGCCCTAGTAGCTGCCGGAATGAAAAGCCCATACACCTCCAATACTCAATTATAACGGCTTACCACTACCTCACGTGGTGTTCTTGTGTCATCCATGTACAATGATGGTATTTATTATGTTCTTAGAATAATGTAAAAAATGTTTTTAACACGATAGTACTATAATATAACAATATAACCCTATATGCCCACTACAATTCAAATAAGCTCTTCATTACAACTTATAGTATCTTACAGTAAGTGGTTCATTTCATTTTAACATAAAACTAAGTCATTTGAGAAGATTTGACCCATTAAATGGACTAAATCAATCATTTCAACATAAAACATAGTCATTTGAGAAGATTTGACCCCTGAAATTGACTCTCTCTTGCATTTATCTTGGGTTTGTTGTCCCACTACCACTCAAACAAGCTTGTCGTTACTACTTAAAGGATCTTAGAGTAAGTCGTTAATCCCATTTCAAAATAAGATTGAGTCATTTGAGAAGATTTGGAATATTTTGGGGGTCAAATCTTCTCAAATGACTCAGTTTTATGATGAAATTAAACATTGAGTTAGTTTAGGGGGTCATATCTACTCGAATGACTCAGTTTTATGTTGAAATTGGATCAATTAGTTATTGTAAGATCCACCTATATCTTACAGGTATGTTATAGAGTGAAAAACCAATACCTTACCAGTTATAAAGTGAAAAGCTTATATCTTGTCTTTGCCTTGCCTTGACGTTGCTTTCTCGTTACCTGCCTTGCCTTACCTTTGTCTTTGTCTTTGCTTTGCTTTTCCTTTCCATGCTTTTGCCTTACATTTTCCTTGCCTTCCCTTTCATTCCCTACCTTTCCATTGCCTTTACGTGCATTGCCTTACCGTTGCCTCAGCTTTCCTTTCATTGCCTTTCCATGAGCATCAAAATCAAGTGTTGCCTCACCATTCCTTGCCTTGCTGAATTAAACTGTATAAAATTTTCAATTTCAGTTGTAAGGGAAAACTGAACTGTGCCCACTCCTAGTTAAGGCCCACAAATAAAGTTGGGTCCAATTCTACTAGAGGTATATTAGGGCATTTGAACCAATAAATCGTTAAACTAAACCGAACCAGAAAAAATCGTTAAAATCAATTTTTGCTTAAACTAGTTTAGTTCCCAATTCTTAGTACCTAAAAACCGAACCAATTATATATTGATATTTAACTCATTTTTCTTATGAATCTAATACCTAAATCTTTGCTTTCTCATTTCTCTCACCCTTCCTCGTTGCCTTGCTTTAGCCTTGTACTATTTTTAGCATTGTAAAAGTGTTATCACTTATTAACTAATGTGGGTTAGACCAATTATATATTGAACAACTTAGGCTTAAAGGTCAAAAAATTTGGGTCGAGGTTTAATGGGTCGTGTTGACAATAGAGGTTGGGTGGTTTGAATTTGTCAGTACAAATAAATATAAATATTACTAAACTCAGAAATAATATGTACTAGGCTTAGCTCTTGATTTACCCCCTGAACTTGTACCTAACTTTCGATTTACTCACAATTTTTTTTTTAAATATAGAAAATTAAGGATATGAACTTTTTTTTTTTTTTTCCAATTTACCCCTTGACGTCTAAATCCAAAAACATTTCATCCAATTTGCCATTAAATATGAAGACAAATTTGTAATTTTGTATTTTTATCTGAAAAATTTAAAAAAAAACTTTTACAAATTGAATATATATATATATACACATATATACTCTCTCTCTCTCTCTCTCTCTCTCTCTCTCTCT